CACTCTGTCCTGGCTCTTTCTTTCCAGTCATATCAAATTTCAATATTGAACATTAATAATATCGATAAGATCTTAGTTTTCTTTCTTTTTCCTTCATAAAGATAACCAATTTCTTAAAATCTAAGTAAACATAACCTTTTATTCGTCAATATTCAATATCTAGTAACCATGACAAGATGACTAAAGATTAAATCTTCTTTTGAGATAGAAACAAATTTCATTTAAGAATAAAAATTTAATCTTGATTTGAAATTTATATCACTTTGATTGATTGATTGATTGAATCGATTGATCGATTGATTGATTTGATTTGATTGATTGAAATGATTTGAATTTATTTATAGTAATAACACTTAATCGATATTGGATTCAATATTGTGTAAGGTAAGAAATTATATAATTGAATGATTTAGAATAACATAAATATTATGTAAGCGAATCATGTTGTTTTTTGATTAGATCCTCATCAGATTTTACTCTAATATACAGTCATGTTTTTATAGGCATATACGAGTTTGTCTACAAACTGATGCCTCATAAAGTTCTGTCTGGCAAGGCCGCACAGAAAGAGTCGAAGGTTAAACTGCCAAAGGTTGGTAAGAAGAAGAAGGGGAGGAGGAGGACGGGGAAGAGGAAGAGGAAGAAAGAGAGTTATGCTACCTACATCTATACGAAATGAATTAAATTAATCAAGGTAGTGTATAAATTAATGATGATAACAGTTGAATTGGTAGTGTGATGACAAGTGTACTAGTTGTGATAAGCAATAATAAAGGTTTGAATTAATGTTACATAATAGGAAATAGGTTAATGATTAGAAAAAATACAAACATTGAAATAACAAACAAGAAAATAGCGACATCAATGACTAGTAAAAAACCTCTTTTGTTGAAGATGCAATTCAGTGAAGATGTACTACATGATAGATTGACTAAAGCAGTGAAGAGAACGTTTAATACAGTCAACCTGTATTTATCGTACTCGACCCAATTTATGGTAATTTCTCAACTAAAGGATAAGTTATCTAGTTATGCCACTTCTATATGTATCTACAAATTCAGCTACTCTTGTGGAGAAAGCTATATTAGACGTACCACCAGACAACTGAGCCAACGAGTTAGTGAGTGCCTCTCTTCATGATTAGGAAAAGGTACTGTCGCGACAATACGCAGCTCTTTTCTATCATGTTTGATCGAAAGCCGTCACGTGATAGAACGAAATAATGAAAGTTTCATACTTAGAATGTTTCAATGAATTACTACTAATCATAGTTACTAAGTAATATATAATGTACAATATATGAAAATTTTGTTTTTGTAAAAGTACTAATTCCGTGAGGAAATGTGAACACAGTTAATAAAAAGGTTATAATACTAGATTACGTAATATGAATAATAATAACAATATACTTAGTGATTATAATAAGATGATTAAAATGTTTTTTGATATAATAATTAAAGGTCATAGAGGGGTAAAAAATAAAGTGATATGATGAGCGTTCATGAATAAAACAATGAGAATATAAGACATAAGTAAAGGGGAGAATGCAGTAATAATAATAGTAGGATAATCAAACTAATTAAGGCCAAGGTAACGATAACGATGAGACGTACTTCATTTGTACGCATAGTTCTGGTTTAAGCTCCTGGATGGTAAGAACTTCGGCTATTTTTAAAAGTTGGATGCGAAGAAATGTGGGTAGATTTGAACGAATCATATAAACAAACTTCAATTCATTTCTTGAATCAGTGGAATGGTTACAGTCGATTAGGTGTTCAAGTATAGAACTCCTAACTGCTTTCCTTTCCCCCTTATAGAACCAAGCCGGAATATGTTCCCGTATCCGAGTTGAAAGCGAGCGCTGGCTACGGCCAATGTACCTTGCTTCACAAGAGCAGGTGAACTGGTAGATGCACATAGAGGCGACCAGACGCGGAAGCTTGTCTTTTATGGACACGGAAGATAAGTTCCTACTCGTGAAGTTTATTCGCAATTTAGCTGCATTAAATGTTCTTCTAATAGTTGTTAGACGATTTTTGATTACTTCTGATGTTCGATCACCTTTAAAGGTTTTTCTTTGTAACGGAGCAACTAGGTTTCTTGTCACAACTACCTCTATTCATATTCTTTTCTATGAACCGTTCTGAGTAGCCATTTTCCGTTAGGGTTTTCTTGAGGAATTCAAGTTCTTCGTTACTGCATTCCTTACGAAATAAGTCATTTAAAGTTATTTGTCGTATTCCCACTAGTTTTTCTTATGATGTTCGATCTCGTCTTTTACACATAACAGAAGCCATAGGATTTCTAGACAAACGATCCAAGTCTTTATGTTCATAAGAAATTTGTAACACCTTTTCTCTCTCTTGGCATTAATAAAGGATTTTATTGATTATTATTTCCCATACTCTATTCGTTTATTTTTCTTCACCCCCTCCTACCATTTTGTTTTATTTTCCTTCACGGTCCAATTATTTGAACACTTGTTACGTAATCTCACGATTCTTTTTTATGAATGTTATTTCAGTGTTTATATTTTTTCTAATCATTAACCTATTTCCTATTATGTAACATTAATTCAAACCTTTATTATTGCTTATCACAACTAGTACACTTGTCATCACACTACCAATTCAACTGTTATCATCATTAATTTATACACTACCTTGATTAATTTAATTCATTTCGTATAGATGTAGGTAGCATAACTCTCTTTCTTCCTCTTCCTCTTCCCCGTCCTCCTCCTCCCCTTCTTCTTCTTACCAACCTTTGGCAGTTTAACCTTCGACTCTTTCTGTGCGGCCTTGCCAGACAGAACTTTATGAGGCATCAGTTTGTAGACGAACTCGTATATGCATAGAAAAACATGATTGTATATTAGAGTAAAACCTGATGAAGATCTAATACTTTGACACAAGTACTTGGTTACTACTTTAGTTCAGAACTAAGAGACAATAACAAGAAATAATCATAGATTTTAAATTATTTTATGTAATTGAAAAATAATTCGTTTCAACTAAGGTTTTCCCTGTCTTGACAACAGTCTAATTTAATGTTTACAGAGAGAAAAAAAGTAATAATAATAAAGTGCCTAAACTTCTTATGATAAATTACTTTCTCTAAATGATAGAAATAAAGCCAGAACAAATACAGGTACAGAATAATGTGAATTCATTATATTTCATAGTTTCTCATCAGTTGCTTACAATCAAATGTGAATTAGAATTTTACATTGAGGTAACATATAGTGTGAAACAATTGACATAAGTGGATGTAAAGAATTGGAATGACAAAGATTATCGATAATAACTACATATATGTGCAAAAACAGATTAGAGGTTATTTGGTGTTAGAATCAAAGAAACATTAGGGTTGGGTGATGTAATAGTTGAGTGAAGTTCAGAGATAGACAAGATAAATTGTGTGATAATTCTAGAGGTAATGAAGAGTTTATATAAGATTCATGGAATTAAAAACTCAAGATGGGTGACGTAATAATTGAATAGGATTTGAAGAGTTCACATAGTTTAACAGAATCGAGTGAGTGGAAATGTATGAGTGAAGGGGGTGGTTTAAGAATTAGGTAATGGGAAGAGAAATATAACAAACTAAACATTAACCAGGGTAGTAATAGGTTTATTACTATCACTTTTTGAATACATAGATCACGTTTGAGTTCTGTTATCGTGATCGTTTCCGCAAAACGGAGAGAAGCAGTATTTCTTTCTGTTAATAATTTTAAAAGCATGAGGAATGTCAATGGTATGCCCGATGTCAAGTAAATGCCGAGCTATTGCAATGGATTCGTATTATTCTACATCAATGTTCGTTCTGACTTTATTTAAATTCATAACGTAAACTAATTACATGAAGTGATAAAAATAGCTTGAATTGATTATTCATTAGAATTAAACTAATTCTATATGATTAACATCATGAACTGATTGATGTTAGATCATCATTGAAAACCTGGAAGTTTCTGGATGATCTAACATCATTCAGTTCATAACCTCAATTAAAAGTATAATAATCTCCACAATCCGATACTGATAGTTCTATATAGTTAAACCTTGTACTTGTACTTTTCGAATGACTAGATGTTATATATATAAATCATTTAGTTTACTGATTATATAACAACATATTCAATGAAATTAAATGATTGTACTTCAAACACACAGAGAGAGAGAGAGAGAGAGAGAGACACGAAGCCCATTATTACTTGGTAACTTTATGATAAATTTGTAAATACCCCTTTAACTCATATCCAAATTTATGATAAACTTGATCATTCATGATTACAGATGTACTTGAAGAACAAGTATTAATTAGCAACATGAAAAAAAACAACAACCTCAAAACTCAAGCATAAGTTTTCTGATTATTTTCATTCAGCTTCCATTAAATTAAATCTACCATTATAAATATCAACTTAAATTAGTCATCTGTGAAGTGATATTATGGTATGAGTTACTTATATCCGTATAAATAGTATATAACAATGGTCAGGTTTAGAATGTATTTCAGTATAAAATCAAGAAGGAAAGAATCGGAACAGAACGCAATTGGTATGAAAATGCATAGAACAATGAAATCTGAAACAATGGACTAATATTTACAAAAGGAACAGTCAAGTTTGAGACGATGGATTGATATTTTGCAAATTAACTATTTACACTATATGGTTGTCAGATTGTTGTTGAGATATTCTGTAAAATTTCGTATCTGAATACATTCAATTATCTCCACTTGTGTTCTTGTTCAGTACAATATTCCTAACAAGATTGTGTAATAAATATTATAAACCATTTCTAAACTTTGTAAAATTAAAATAACAAATAAACAAAATACGTTTTTAAGCAAAAAAACAGATAGTAAGTAGTAATGGAATCCAATTTAAAGCACGTTTCGTCTTAGCTGGGACTCATCAACTAGATTTACTTGTACTATTCAATTTTTTAAAAGAATTTAAAAGAATAATGAATATTCCTTCAACTACTTACCTATTTGATCTTATTCCAAACTCATTTATTAAATGTAAATATTATTCTTTCATTATCTTTTTTTTGTTTGTTTAATGATTAATGAATAAACATCATAATATGTACTGTATTCCGAATGTATCCGTTAAAGTTATGACTTTCCCTCCCCCCCCCCTGTTTTTTGTTTCCTTTATATGGTTACTTTATGATTATTAGTATGAATTAGATCTATGCAAAAGATTCCAATATTGATCATTGAATTAATGATATTGTTAATGATGTAATCAAATCAATTACAAATTGTATTATCATTTTTCCAACAACAAAAAGAAAAGTGAATATTGTAATTCATGACATAAATAGTTGAATGTGAGTTTTGATTGGTTAATTAAGCTGACCAATAAAAATCATTGAAATTATTTATTTAACTAAAAAGAATTATTATTATTATTATTATCACCTTCTGATAATAATCATCTTCTCACTAGTGACTAACTTCAAGAGATACTCCTAGAGTTCTAGTGAGAAGCCGTTACCGGTGGAGTTTCAGCCAGGTCTATTGTGATATATCAATTCACTGAAGACAATGGTGTACGATGGCGTTACTTCGTGGATTGATTGAAGTTAGACATTAACACTGTTGGATGCCGGCTGTCTCAGTGCTCTAGATGTTAAGCGCTCGCGCACGAGACTGATAGGTCTTATGTTCAAATCTCGCAGAAGGTGAGGTCATGGATGCGCACTACAGAGGAGTCTCACAATAGAATAGTTCTCCATAATGGTCTAACTTCAATAAACTCATGATTAAAACTAATGAAATTACTACAATCTCCATAAAACTTCTGATGTTAAACTTCTTTTTAAACACATTTTAAGTTAACGATAATCTTAAACTATTTTCATTGTCATTTAGATTTCATTTCAAAGTATATCGGTCTTCTATTTATTCCTTTTTTTTTCTGGTTCGTTCATAGACATGGTTGAACTTGCTTTACAACATAAGTTTGTATTACTTCTTTTATGGAGAAACATTAATAACACTTATTGTCATAGTGTGATGAATTATATGAATAATGGTCATTTTTTTGTTTTTAATTAAAGATGATTACATCATAAAATCAATAATTCGTTTAATATCTTAACACTTTATTCAATATACTCATGATTATAGTCCCTAAAATGTAACAGCACAATCATTAAATAAACATGTATCGTTATTAAATTCACTTGATATTGTTTACTTGTATCTTCCAATCAATATTTAAGACTGTAATTGATTAGTCTTTTATTGTAATATGTGTATCCAATTAGGACGAAACGCACGTCCTAAATTCTACTGTTAACCACCATCCGTCTTTGCTTAGAATGCGTGTGACTTAAAGAAATATCGATGTAATCCGTACACCATACACATATACCAAAAAGTTACTGATCGATTGCAGTCCTAAATAACAATAGGACAATACCAGTAAACGACATCAAGTGAATTTAAAACTTCAGAGCATTAAAAAAGCAAGTGGCTATTAGGACTCAGTAGCTAAGTGAATAACACTATAACATTTGAAGCGAACGGTGCTGTGTTCGAGTCCTGGAGTGAACATCAACTATGAAATACAAGTACATCTAGCTGACAAGTCCTATATATGACAAAACACTTATCCTAGTTTCCACTAAAATTCTATTTACCTAAATAAATGGTTGCTCTGCTTGTAAGAAGGGGCATCGACCTCGCAACTTCCGAAGGAACTCGGCTTTCATCATGAGGCGTCATAACTCTTCTGAATGAAGACCTTCTAACTCCCAGGGCAGAGTTAAAATGGTTCGAATAATTTTTTCTAGTTAGCATTTTTTTAGTAAGTTAGTTTTCTACGGGATGAGGTAGCTAAACCCATGCCCAACCCTCCACCTTTGACCGTGCCTGTGGCCGGCAGTAGCCCCGAGAGGGACTCCAGGCAGAGTTGGATAGAACTAGAAAAGAAGGCCCAGGACAGATTGGGTCGGAGAATCCTAGTCGGTGACCCACACTCCATTAGGAGTAACAGGCGTAAGTAAGTAAGTAGGTTTCCACTACTAACCACTACTTATATTTGTTTATATATGATTATTGTATAATTAATATATAGAAAATAGATGACCTTAAGATTATAATATCTAGTTAGTGAACTTATTTATATAATTGAAATAGATAAATATAATTGTTTAAAATCACTTAAGATAATCAATAAATCAATATCTGTATTGTTAATATATTAATTAACTATAATTAATTAATTCATTATATTTTTATTTATTAGATTTAATGAATAAATTAATTTGAATGAAAATCATTAACAATCATTTTATGTTTATAGTAGAGAACGAAATGTAATTAATTAACTAACTAACTAACAACTACATATCAATGAAACAAAAATGTAGTAAAATCAATTAGGCACTACTATTCACACTACTACTACTACTACTACTACTACTACTACTACTACTACTACTACTACTACTACTACTACTACTACTACTACTACTACTACTACTACTACTACTACTACTACTACTACTACTACTACTACTACTACTACTACTACTACTACTACTACTACTACTACTACTACTACTACTACTACTACTACTACTACTACTACTACTACTACTACTACTACTACTACTACTACTACTACTACTACTACTACTACTACTACTACTACTACTACTACTACTACTACTACTACTACTACTACTACTAAGTAAGTAAGTAAGTAAGTAAGTAAGTAAGTAAGTAAGTAAGTAAGTAAGTAAACATTGCAAAAAACAGATAACTTGTTGAAATATCCAGAGAGCAGGAACAAATCGCCTAGATATTCAAACAAGCCGCCTGGAACTTCAATAAACTAGTTGAAGAACCATGTATATATTTATTCATATTCGATCATTTCGATATAGAATTCTATAGTTCCTTTTGAAAAAAAGCTTGAATTCGTTAAGATTTTACAAATACATTCTTCCTCTATAATATCTAATGAATTCTTGTTCGTTATTCATATTTCAATTTATGGTAATAAAATAGATGTATGAGAATAGAATAGGTCAATCTTTTGAATGATCCACTTTGAATGATGGTACATTGATGGAATAAGTTAATAAGATGTGTGATTGAAACCATAGAAAATTGGTCAATATTTACAATTATGTCTAAAATGTAATATCTTAAGACAATTTACAGAGAAAAATGAATTCATTACAACCCCACACTAATAAAATAACTATGATAGGTTGTCATGTTTTTATTTTTAAGAGGAAATAAGGGATGATTAATTTGTGAAATGTCATCAAATTTATTGAATAGTTGATCAGTTCAACGATAAAGCACATCTTATACTGATGCTACTTTGTTAATACGAAGCTTTCTTTTAATAATAATCATTTATTATCAGAAGGGATTATTGTGGGGATTGTAGTAATTTCAATAGTTGAGATCATGAGTCAATTGAAGATGGACCACTATGAGAAACCTAGAAGTACTAGACGGCCGTTTTGTCCTGGTACGGCACTCCTCAGTACTGCACATCCACGATCCCGCCTCATCGAATTCGAACCCACGATACATCAGTCTCGCACGCGAACACTTAACCTCTACACCAATGAGCCAGACGGCATCCAACACTGTTAATATCTAAATTCAACTAATTCAAAAAATTGAGCGACACATCCACAGTTGTCTTCAATGAGTTACTATCTCACAACAGACCTGGTTGAACTCCACTAGTCACTGCTTCTCACTAGTACTCCAGAAAATAAATCTTGAAGCCAGTAACTATTGAGTATATATATATGTGATCAGTACAGATAGGTTCGTGCATTGAATTCCCTCGGTTGAATGTCTAATAAAGAAAGGAACATAAAATAAATCTGGACATTCTTGGATTGAGCTATCCTTGAATAAGTTGAAAATGGTCATTTCTGATCAATTTAACGGTAGGAAGATAAAACTAGTTATTATAAATTTCCATAATGGGATTAAAGTTGATATTTCGATATGAAAATGATACTTTTTGTTATTGGACGTAATCAGCTTGAAAAGTATTGATCATCATAGAGCTTTGAAAAGATTGTTTCTTTATAGTTTGTCGAAATAATCCTTGTCAAATCAGAACATGGGGGGAATAAAAGAAAGACATTCAATGGAAGATTTCGAAACAATGGTTTTGATTCATGACAGTTTTGTGATTTGGATATTTTATTCTGACATGAAAAAGTAACTATCCAATGGTTTTTGAACAACAATTACATCTCAGCTGATATCAGTTTCTGGTCACAAAAAAAATAACTCCGCCTTAAGCCTCTTAGGGGTTACTACCGGCCCCAAGCCCGGATAAAAGAGGGGGGTGGGGTATGGGGTTAGAGACCCCATCCCGTAGAAAACTGACGCCCCAAAAAACGCTAAGCAGAAAAAATAATCCAAACAATTAAAATCTGCCTCAGGAGTTAGAAGGTTTTCATTTAGAAGAGTTACGACACCTCATGGTGAACAGCCGAGTTCATGAGGTTGGTGCCCATTCTGACAACCAGAGCAACCATTAATTTAGACACATGGCATGGTCGTACAATGTGAGACACCGAGAGAGTCATCCAAATTGTTCATTTCGATAAAATGACATACTCATACAAAACAAAGACATATAATTCTTAAGTCCATAATATTATATATTTCTTATTAATTCATGAATAAGATACTAAGGTTATGTGAACGAATGTTAATAACGTTATTTTCTCTAATTTAAAACATAACCAAGTCCATCTTCATCCGAAAAATAATATTCAGTACAGGTGAATTGTGTTGATCATTTTCTCTTGCCTTAAAACTTGTCTACTGAATGCATTAATACCCTGGTGTTGACCTTTAAACCAAGACTTGAGTACAGTACTTATAGCTTTAAACTACGACTCTATATCCACTAGGAAAGAGAGTCCAGATATCTATTAACCTGTATAAAGCCTGAATCATACAAAACAAAATGAAAAAGCTTTACGTTTTTCTTAAGCATACATAAACAAGCTAACAGAAAGATACCATGATGTGTTACATCCCATGTAAACAGAAACAACTTTAATAATATCAAAAAGCTAACCGAAGTATAGCATCCCCACCAATATGTGATCAGTAGACAATTCAATATAGATTCTACTCATCCATTATCATGGACCAAATGGTCAATTTTATTCAAACACAACGGTTTCCAAGAATGCAAAAACATATAAAGATGATGAAGGTACAAAAACAACCAGACATAATAAGGGTCGTCAGAACAAAATGGTATTACAAA